GGGGAGGGAAAGAGGCAAGCATTGGCTGGAGGGGGCGGCGTACAGGTGGATGCACAGCGTGGCCTGCCAACCAGTCGGCAACGCAGCTCCGTCTGGTCTCACCCCCACCACCAGCCCGGCCGCCGACGCGTCCGGCCGCCGCACGCACCAGCCCCTGCACCCTTTGCGCCCGCCCGCCCCCCTTGGCCCCTCGGCCGCGCACCTCCCCCGTGCAGGTCTTGAGCCGCGTGATCCGCAGGCCCCCCACCTCGGCCGCCGGGATCCCCGTCGCCAACTCCTCCAGCTGCTGCCTGCTCCAAGCGAGCACGTTCTTCTCCTCCCAGTGCCAACTGGTTCCGGGGATGGTGGGGTTGCAACCAGGCCGTAAAATCAGCAAAGGGCTGATGCGGGGCACCTCCCTTTCCCCACTCAACCACAGGCGGCGCTGTCGCCGCCCCGCTGCGCCGCCCACGCCCACGCCTCAAAACATGCGCACGCCCGCGAGCGACGGGCCGTCGCGGTGAGGCAGGCAGCAGCGGCTGCGAGTTTGACAGGGTTCTTGTCTCCTCACCCTCCCACATTCTTCCCGTCCTCCCGGTTCTGGACAAGCCACCGCGGGTCGCGGTCCTCCCTGAGGGTGAGGGCGTCGGGGGCGAGGCCGGTCGGGCCTTGGGTGCCGAAACGGCTGCGCCGCCGCGTTCCGCGGCATGCGTGGGCATGCCTAACATGCGAGGGCGCTGAAAGGTGCTACGTCTGCTCGTCATAAAACTTATTGGGCAGCAACAGTGCTCCTTATTTGGCCGCTATCCGGCCAGCTGCACCGCCTGTACTTCTACCACACCCGTCCCAGGCCCCGCCCGCTGCGCTCCCATCGGTGGTGCACTGCTAACGACTGGTTCATCAGAGGTGCGGCTCACAACCCTTAAAGGCATGCACACATGCCACCGTAGCATGGGCATGCGGTCCTCAAGCAGGGTGCCACGGGAGCAGCAGCGGAAGCAGCAGCGGCGAGTACGGCGCACTGCGTTGCGCTGAAGGTGTGCTTGAACCCATGATGCATCAGCCTCCTGCCCCAGCTCACCACTTGGCCATTTTTCGTCTATGCGCGCAAAGCCCTGCTCCTTGAGGGCGGCCGGGCGCGAAGGCTCTCGAGACCAGAACTATTGCGGGGCAGCGCGTGGAGCCAGCGTCAAATACGTTTTTAATCCCGATCTACACAAAACAGGTCTATCTTCTCAAGCTTTGCATGCTGCTGGTGATATTGCTGGGCACGGTGACTATCGGCACCCACCTCGCACCCTCCTGCGGTCCATATGGCCTGCAAGTTACACTAACGTAGCAGCAAGCGCATGCACGTGCAAAACTCGAAGAACTTTGTTTCAGCGGAGCGCCTTCTCTTAGATCGTCAGTCTCGCCAGCCAGCGGCCTGACAAACGCCGCACGCTGCTTTCAAAACTACTCAATTCTTTTACAAAGGCCAACACCTGCGAGGGCTCACGGGACCACCGACACTCCCACGCCACAGTCCGCATGGTCAGAATGGAGACGCCCTCCGAGGCCACCACGCCCTTCATGGACCTGCATGGTGCCCACGAGAGCATTGTATGTCGCGTTCTCGACGCCCTCGACCTGCGGACCAGGTGCGTGTGCCGCCGTTGCGTGATGGCGTTGAATGACGCAGTCGCAAGCCCGCCTCAAGATGGACCAGCGCTGCACCCGCGCCTGGCCGCATCCAGGTGTTCAACCCAGCTCTCGTCGCATCTCGACACCGCGCATGCGCCGCGCTGCCCCGCAGAACCGCGGTGCTGTGCACGTGCTCGCGCCTGAAGCGGTTGTGCGAGCGGCCCGAGCTGTGGCGCCGCATCGCCTTTGACAGCGCCGACGAGCAGCGCGGCCTCAAAGCAGAGTGGCTGCTGGGCGTGCTGGGCCGCGCGGGCGGCGGCGTGGAGGTGCTGCATCTGGCCAGGTGCGGCGGGGCCCTGGCCCTGCTATGCCAACCCCCAACAGCAAAATGCCTGGCTGCCGCGCACCGAGCGCAGCAGGGCCCAGGGGCCGCCGCGGCGCGGTGCTCGTCCAGGGCGCCAGCAGCACGGCCATCACCCCTGCATTACGCAACTAGGATTTGCACCATCCGCCCCGCGCCGCCCAGCCGAGCCGCCGCGTGTCTGCTCGCGACCACTGGTCACCCAACATGACATCACTCCCTGCCGTCTGACCCAACACCCCGAAAACCTCCCAAGATCTCGTGAGGCGCGCGACGCGGAGGGCCAGCAGCGCTTTTGCGACGGGCTCAAGCTCGGGCAGCTGCTGCCGCACACGCAGGGCCCCGGCGCGCTGCGGCTGGCAGCGCTGTGCCCCCGGCTGGTGCACCTGTCCGTCGACGAGCGCGCCTCCTGCCTCGGGGGCATGACCGACGACCTCGGTGGGTGATACCCCATGCTGACGTGGCGCACTCGGCGTCGCTGGCTGCACGCCCCTTCTTGTACTAGGCGCGGCCGGCCCTGGCCCCACCTGCCCAAGCAGCCGTTGTGCCCGCGTTGATGCGACCATCGCCCCCGCCCCTCCGCCCCCGCGCCCCCGCTCACGCGCCTGGCCGCCGCCCTTCCCACGCCCGCGCGCCCGCCCCGCGCAGCGCGCGCGCTGGGGGCGCGCTGCCCCGCGCTGGAGACGCTGGAGGTCTACTTTGAGCGCTACTCCCTGCCCTCCGAGCTGCTCACTGATGACGGCCTCATCGCGCTTTCCGAGGGCTGCCGGCGCCTGGCGTCGCTGACGCTGGTCAACTGCGACCATGTGAGCGACCGGGCGCTGTACGCGGTGGCGGCAAACTGCCGCGGCCTGCGGGAGCTGCAGCTGGGCGGATACAGGTGAGGTTGGAAGGGGCGGGGGCGCTGGCAGCGCTGGGGCCTCACATGTATCTAGAGGGAGTGGTCGAGGGACTGATGGCTGTTGTTGAGGCCGCCGGCGCGGGGTGGGCGCCAACAGCGCACTGGTACGGGGGCGGTACGACCTTGGGGGACTTTTTGGGCCCTGGGCCCAGGCGGGCACGCTTTGTCCCAAAGCTGGGGTCGCGTTGTTGACTTGTTCACGAGCCCGCAGCCTGCTGGCTGCCAGCAAACCGCCACTGCCTTGAGCCCGTGTGCTTGCTGGGCTTTGTGCTCTACCCGCCTTGTCTCGACACCCGAGCCTCCCCCCGCAATCGTCTTGCCACGCCTTGTTCCGCAGCGAGAACATCTCGGACTGCGGCCTGACAGTCCTGATTGCGTCCTGCCCCGCGCTGCGCGTGCTATGGCTCAGCGGGAAGCTGCTCAAGGTGACGGACACAACCCTGGCCGCCCTCGCGCGCCACCGCGGCCCCGGCCTCGCGCGCGCCAAGCTCACGCGCAGCATGGGCGTCGGCGCGGCGCTGCGGCTGCTGGCCGGGTGCGGCGCGCTGGTCGAGCTCGACGCGCGCCACTGCAGGGGCGAGGTGGACGAGGCCGCGCTGGCCGCGCTCGCGCTCGCCTGCCCCAAGCTCTCTCGCGTCGTGCTGCCGCTGAGGGGCGACGGCGATCCCGCCAACAGCGGCGGCGCCCCCGCGGCGTCTGCGGCCGGGCAGGCCGCACGGCACGAGGATGAGGAGGATGACGAGGGCCCGCGACGGCCGGGCGGCGCGCGCGCGCCGCCGGCGTGCAGCGCGAGCAGCGCGGCGCGGACGCTGCTGGAGGGCGACGTCCGGCGCCTGCAGGGGCTGCAGGGCCTCCCCAGCCTCGGGGTCAGCCACTGACGCCGGCCTTGCGCGGCGGTTGCCGCCCATCCCTTTTGCAGCCTCAACAAACACGCGGCCGCACGAGAGGCGAACACGAGTGAGGTATGAACAAGAGAGCAGCAGAGCAACTCCCGCGGTCCGGCAACAGCGCCGAGCCCCGCGCCTCTGCTTAGGCAGGCGCCCTCCTGGGCGCCGCCCTAGCGGTGCAGCAGGCACCGCCATTTTCGGCCGTGCTGGTTCCCTCGCCATTCAGGACTTTGTGCCTGTCAATGTATCAATCTTCTTTGCTGTATTTTGGGTTGAATGCAGACCGCCTCTGCACACGCTTAGCAGGCATGGCGGCCAACGCTGCGCGCCCGCGCGCGCCTTCAAGGCATGCCGCACGGCGTTTCGTGTTGTTCGCACACGGCGCGGCGCCCCCTTGGCAACGAGCTTGCGCCCCACCTCATTCGGAGGCCCTCCAGCAAACATCTGACGACTTTTTGTTGCGCCGCCTTGACAGCGGTCCTGTTTTTGTCCGCCCCTTTTGTCCGCCCCTCCTTCAGACCAAAGCGTGACTGCCAACAAGAGAGCCCCATCCAGACAGGGGCGAGAACATGCAGGTTAGGCGGCGCTCAGGTGCCCAAAACAGGGCCCCGTTGTGTGCGCGCGTGCGCCCTCACAGACGCTTCACCTGAGCGACCTCCGCTCTGCCAATCTGTGCCTGTGCTTGCATGGATGCACGCAGTGTTGTGGCCGCCCACACACGTGCGCTCCTGCCGGTCTTCTGGGGGGGCTTCTGCTGACCCGGTCAGCATTCGCTCGGCATGACACCATGCCATGGGTGAGTTGGGGCACGCAAGGCCGGCACTGTTAAGCTTGGGCCCGTTTTCTGTATTGATGTACCGCTCTCAAAGCTCAACTGCAGCGCACGGCTGCCAGGGGCAGGGAACTCGCTGCCGCCCCGCCGGCTGCACCCCCACTCCCCTCTCCGCAACAGCGGTACTGCAGTGGCACCCCCTTCCCTCTGAGTTGAGCCCGCTGCGGCCGCCTGTCGGTGTGCGTCGCAGCCTGCCACCAACACTATTGCACGTTGCGGATGCCAGCCTGTCCGCTAGTGCTTCTCTTGTGATGTGTATAACTTAATCTATTGTACACGGTCTACTTCTTACAACGTCGCCGGCGTAGCCCTGTGCCGAGCTCTTACCTTCCACGCGCCACAGACCCTGTGCATCTGCTACATGCACCCTTGTCCACCAACCGTGGCCGCCGCGTTGCTCTCGTGGCGTTGACCTCCCGCACACCATGGTGATTGCACGATGCGACAGCAGGGGCTCTGATCGTGCGCTGCGCGCTCGATCGGTCAACCGGTTGCCGCCGTGGCAGTGGAGCCGAAGTGGCGCGAGTGGTGTGCAGTGCGCACGGGGCAGCGCATGATGGAGGCAATTGCCGCCTGCTTGTGCAATCTGCTTAATTTTGCGGCGTAAGTGGGCAATCTACACCCACAACACGGGTTCCGGCAGCCAAGGGGAGGGGGCTGCGCACCCTCAAAAGCGCATGCTGCATAGGGCAGATCCGGCGGCAGGCGGATCAACCAGGCAATCGCCCGAGGCTCCTGTGGGGTGCTGTGCAGGGGCACAAGCAGCATGTCAAACCGCCGATCACGCTCAGCAGCCCAACAAATGGTCACAAAATGAAAGAGTAAAACAAGACGCGGTGCCGCAGAAATGTACACATTGGGTGTCCAGAACTCTTCTTCTTGCAGTGTGGGTGCCGGCCCGATTGCCAGGCCGCACACGCATCACGTCACACAGCCGCCCATGTACAGGGGACGGCAGCTGACATCTCTGCATTCCACAGAGAGTATCGACGACGCAACAACTATCCACAAAGCGCCTCGCGCACTCGAGCTGCAGCAGTTCCGAGGGCGAGGCCGCCTCGCCTCGCCGTCCAGGCGCGCAGCGCCCGCCCTCGCGCACCTCTCACCCGTCGTCCCACACCGCCGCCTGCGACTGCTGCCTGACGCGCCGCTCCTCGCGCTTGGCGCGCCTGAGGCTGGCGAGCTCCGCCTCAGCCTGCTTATCGCGCACCTGGGGCGATTTTGAAGGGAAAGGGAGGGGCGAATATCCTTAACATGGACTGGCGCAGCAGCATGTGTTGCAGGCTAGCTCTGCAGCAGGCATGAGGCGTCTGAAGAGGCAGCTCGGTGCGCTGAAAAGAGGAAGGCAGGCAGCTGGGTCGTGAACGGTGCTGTCCAGGCTCAGGGCGCGGGCACGTGGCGCGGCAGGGGCGTGCTCACCGCCGCGCTGACGCCGAGCGCCTGGCCGATGAGGCGGCGCGCGACGGCTGTGGTGGTCTTGGGGCGCACGCCCCGCGGCGCGACGAGCTCTGAGGGGGTCAAACCGGTGCAAGGCAGTGTGAGCGACGGTCACGGCCAAATTTGGCAAGGGTCGTGCAAAGCATTCAAGCGTCTTCACTCGCATTTGCTGACACGCGCACTCTGTGCCCACTCTTCCCG